CTGCGATAAGTATACATTGTGATAGTCAATCAGCAATTGGAAGGACTCAAAGCAGCATGTATAATGGTAAGTCTAGACATATTCGTCGTAGACACAACACTATTAAGCAACTGATCTCAAATAGCGTTATCTCCATAAATTATGTGAAATCAAAGGAGAATATATTGCGGATCCACTTACGAAAAGTTTGCCTAGAGATCAAGTGCGTTGCCTATCGAGAGGAGTGAGATTGAAGCCTACTACGTAAGAGTTTTTGCAATGGTAACCCTACCTTGTTGACTGGAGATCCCAAGATCTTGGTTCAAAGGGACAACTAAGTTGTGAAAATTCCATGAAGCACTTAGGAAATTATAATTTTTAACTCATTCCTATAATACTAAAGTGCTTTCTGCAGAGTGGATAGAAACTAAGATTATCTTTTAATGATTCATATATCTTGATTAAGTCAAGTGGAGTAGGGTAGAATACTCTTAATAGGAGGTCACCTATGTAAGTGCGAAGTGGGACCACTTCGATAAGAATTGTTTAAGGTTTGAATTCTCTAAACACTTATGAAACCAAGAAGGGTTCAGGGCCAAAATGAACCAAGTCATGAGAACTAAGTACAGAATATGGAAGATATCCGTGTGAGTACTGTTGTCTTGACTTAAACCAAAGGCTGAGTGGTTCAAGACCTATAGTTCACCAATTAGCCGAATAAGTCTGATAGTATTTCATTAAGGAAGGTTCAAGGCCAGAAGCCACCATCCCTGATGCAGTATTTTTTGGCACTCTCTCTACATTGCATCATATCATCGTATTTGCATATGCATACCCGAATTTCCATTCATGTGGGGGATTGTAGGAATTTGTTCAAATAATTAACCAAAAATTGGAAAATGAAAATGTGTGTAAAAGTGGAAAATGAAAAGGTGTGACTACGTGTCAATTTCGACCAAATATTTGGACTTGATTCGATGGTCAAATTACAAAAGTTAATAGATCAACTTATTCTACTTGTCGAGTAGATCGTCGTGGTATATTTGGAATCTTGAAACCAATTCCGAATGAATGAGAAATTGTGGATCAAATTTGGAGGAAATGAAGTGTTGTAACTTTTCGAAAGGATGCAGGTTTTGGCTAAGTGTTGCAACTTTTCGAAAGGATACATGTTTTGGCCAACACTAATTCATTTGCACCCTTTCTACATCTATAAATAAGACCCTATGGACGTGGTTTGGATATACCAATTGCATTGAGCATTCATCCTCCTTTTGCAATTCTCTCATTTCTAATTCCATAGCATTTTCATGCATTTCCTTTGTAGAGGGAAAATTCTGTCAAAAGTTTGTTGGTTTCTTATGGTTTGAAGTGCTGCTATCACAAGTTGTGAATTCATTGTATCTTGAGAGACAAGTGCCATTCACCGTGAGTACCGTAGCGGGGCAATTTATCTTAAAGAAAGAGATAACGTCTCGTCTGGATTATTCTCTATTTCTACTCCTTCTTAATCATTGTTTTGCGTAATCGTTATATCGAGACTTTGTCCAAATTTCCATTCATATAAATTTTGCTTTGATCATGCTCTTGTGGGTTAAAACTGGTCAAATAAATATATAAAAAACCAACCCTTACATAGCCCTTTTTAAAAGTCGACTCCAACAATTGTTGCCCAACATTTCGGCTGTAAAAAGAGCTAAAATCATTGGATGCATACACTAGCTGGCCTTGGACTTGGAGTACTGTTTATTATACATTCTTATTTAGATCACCACAAGACCATTTCTTGTTATCTAATACTATGATTTAGGCAATTCTTTTAACTTGTGTTCTCATATTCATGATTTTCTCTCTTGCATAAGTTTGTTTGTTTCTTTCTTTTGTGGTATGGCTAATCATTCCCTCCTCCTTTAAATTCTTTCCCCTTTAAGGCATCTCTTTCACCAACCTTTGGTTTTCTTTTCCCCTTTTCTTAATGGCCATTCTGATACTATTTTGAATTGGCTTGTATAAAAGCTTAAATTATGTCTTTAACAATAATATATACGTCTGTTTTGTTTTGAGGGGCGTGTACTAGTTTCATTTTGCATGTTATTTATATATGTAAAACGTGCTTACATGCTTCTAATGAAATTTCAAATTATAAAAAGTTACTTGAAATCACCAAAACAAGGTTGAATTACTTGCCTTTTGTTTGTTTGTCTTCTACACTGCTTTGTACTCACTCCTTGGTTTGAAATTCGATCATAAAGGAAGAAATTTGATAACCACAATCCAATAACCAATTTATAGATGATATACTTCCAAAATCAAGCAACCATCCTCATGTAATTTTCTCTCTATGTTACCATGCGAATTTTTTTTATTTTTTGTATTCATTGTTTTCATGTTCTTTGTTGTGGAAGTTGTATATAGGAGTTGTGGGTTGTGGGAAGTTGAGTTTCAAATTCAAATTTCTCAACTTCCTCAACTTCTCCCTCCATCCAATAACATTCTCATATAATTCGGGCTAGGTCAGCTCACATGGGCGGCCCATTTTCTTCCAACAATATACAAGAACATGGGATCATATGGGAACAAAGAAGAAATGGAA